TATACAGGATTACACCTCATTCATTTTTGTACTCCCAGCACTTAACATAGTACCTCATAGAAAATGTGTGTTGGATGAATTAACCTATATTGCCTATTAGTGAATAAAGTTATGGTATTGTATTCCTAAGAATTTTTAAAATGCACACCTGTGTTAAAAAATTAGAATGCAAAAGGACTAATTTTCAAATAAAGACAGAAATAATTCTAAGACTCCCTTTTTATATTTACAAACTCCCTTTAACCTTGTCAGTCTCTGTCAATTAGTCTTAAAACTTAACTTACCTGAGAGTTGACTTCCTTCTCCTTCTAGTGCTGCCAATTTGTCCCTTTCTCAAAAATGTGTCATATCTTATTCATTGCTCCAGTTAAAAATATAAATTTGAATATTTGGAAGTAACTCAATATCCAAATATACAATGCTAAAACTATCATTGTTAGACTAATTAGGCTAAAAGACAACTAGTCGAGGTTTTCCATGTCTTCTTCAGGTTTTTGTTAACAGTGGGGGAAAGCTGCACAAGGGTGGCAGAAAACAAATTCCATTTACTGATTAAAGGCAACATTCAAATAAATCAATGCATAAAAATTTTTAATCTACTCATCTTGCCTTAGATCAGTTAAAAACAAGTTCTTTGGACTTAAAGTAGTGATGTTTAGTATTCAACTGTGAGTCACTTTTAACTCCCCTGCCCCACTCCCACCCCAGGCCTCAAACTTAAGTCAGGCCTGCATCAAACACTAATTCTTTAGGTGCGGACTTCTTTAGAAACAAATTTGGATACCAATAAACAATCACCAACTGCCAAACTTGATTCATTGTAGCACAAAGCAGGGACATGGATGTGAGGCAGGAAGGTAATCCACAAAGAGGCCACACTCCATGGAAATCAGAGCAAGAGGATCAGGAAGAAGGAAGCAATTACCCGCATTCCAGAGAGACTGGGAAAGAAAGGCACTTCCGGTGTGAGTCTTGGGCCAATCATATTTGACTCTTAGATGATAGGCACTTTAATGAACACCTGGATTACATGGATTTGAAAGTGAAAGAAAATCAAGGAGAAAAAGACATCCAGAAACAAATATTAAGATTGTAAGCTTAAAAAGAAAGTATAGGTATTAACAATGTTTGGTAGGGAGCTTCAGAGCCTCCACCATTCATTTGTGGAGGATGACGACACTGATCTGTTAGTTGGCTTCTCCTACAGGACCTGCTGAGTCCACTTGGGGGCACAGATGGAACAGTCCTTTATTGAGCCTGTCTTACATAGGTTTCTTCCTTTGTATTAGATTATTTCAATCTTTTTTTGTTTGCTTGTTTGTCTACATACATGTGCAATAAAAATGAAGTTAGACTACCTTCTTCTACCATACACAAGAATAAACTCAAAATGGATTAGAATTAAATGTAAGACTCAAAACCATAAAAATCCTAGAAGGTAACATGGGCAGTAAAATATCAGATGTTTCCCATAGCAGTATTTTTTCTGATATACCTCCTGGGCAAGGGAAAAAAAAGGAAAAATAAACAAATGGGACTACATCAAACTAAAAAGTTTTTGCACAGCAAAAAAAAAAAAATCAACAAAATAAAAAGAAAACTCACAGAATGGGAGAATATATTCATTGATACATCTGATAAGGGGTTAGTATCCAAAATGCATGAACTTATAAACTCAACACCAAAGAAACAAACAATCCAATTAAAAAATAGGCAAAGGAACTGAATAGATACTTCTCCAAAGAAGACATACAAAAGTTGCTCAACATCACTAATCATCAGAAAAATGCAAATCAAAACCACAATGAGACACAACCTCTCACCTGTCAGAATGGCCATCATCAATAAATCAATAAACAACAAGTGCTGGCGAGGCTGTGGAGAAAGGGGGACCCTAGTGCCAGGAATGCAGACAGGTTCAACTTCTATGCAAAACAGTGTGGGTTTCCTCAAAATTTTTAAAATGCAGTTGCCTTATGATCTAGCAATTCCACTTTTGGGAATATATCCAAAGAAATCCAAACACTAATTTAAAAGAATAAAGGTGCCCCCGCATTCATTGCAGCACTATTTGTAATAGCCAAGATATGGAAGCAACCCACATGACCATCAATAGACAAGTGGATCAATCTATTTTTCTTTTAATCAATAAATCACTCTGTACTCAAGAATCATGCCAAAGAATATGACCCCACTTATTACTGCCTTCAACTCTTACAATGAAAAGTACAATAAGCAACATTGCCAAAAATGACAGCCTAAAAAGATATATAATTCACCTAGATTTTGACACTAGACCAGCCAAAATATCATTCATTAAGCAGTTTTTTTTTTGACAAGTCCCTCTACCCCTATAAAATTGCTTTTACTAAATTAAGCTCTGCTGTGATGTCCTCTTCTTACTCACTATTGGTTTTATGGATGAGCTACATTGAGAATGCTATCATCCAGCCAGTCCTTCATAAGCCCCACGAGAAAAGACATCCTCAGACTGTCAGTGCAAGGAAGAGCCCTGCCCGTCATAATAAAATGGCTCGTTCTTATTTTATAGACCATGAAAGTCTTATGAGTGCCTGCCAATGGTAGGAAATTTTATTCAATTCATCTTATTAATTTTTCATTTTTATTTTAGGTTTAAAAAAATCTTTTCTAACATGAAATAACACTGTAAAAGACCCACTGTTAGAGAGGAATACTTTAAGTTAAACATACAGGGTGGGGCAAACATAGATTTACAGTTGTTCATATGGAAAGTAATACAATAATAAATAACAGTACAAGAATAAACTCTGTGTTTTGTGTACTCACAGCTGTAAACCTACTTTTGTCCCAACTTGTATACAAACAACAAGGTCTGTCTGGAAAAAGTCCAGCCATTTTTAGTATAATGAGAACGATTTGAGCAACATCGATGTAACCTGGCAGCCAAGGAGGATGGACTAGAATGCGCATATGTGAACAATGACGACTTCACTGTACTAGTGGGTGGGGGTGGTAGATACAGTTCAGTGAGCATGTGCACTGGGTGGCCATCGCATTCAAAATGAATGAGCAAGTAGAGCAATGAATCTGCATCAAATTTTTCATAAAGCTTTGAACATTCTTCCACAGAAACTATTTGGATGATTCAGAAGGCTGCAGCTATGGGCACCTGGTGACTGGCAGTTTCATCACAACCAAATGTGTGCTCATGAATCACATCTCATGCCGAGTTTTTTGGCAAAACATCAAATCACCTAGGTGACTCAAAACAGACCCTTAGCCCAGATTTGGCACCCTGCAACTTCTGGCTCTCCCCAAAACTAAAATCACCTTTGAAAGGAAAGAGTTTTTAGACTGTCAATGGGATTCAGGAAAATACAAAGGGGCAGCTGATGGCAATTGGGAGAACCATGTGAAGTCCTAAGGTACCTACTTTGAAGGGGACTGAGGTGCCATTGTTCTATGTATAATGTTTCTTGTATATTGTATCTTCTTCAATAAATATTTGGCATATTACATAGCTGGATATGTTCTGGACAGACCTCAAATACATTCTCTATGTTTTCAGAAAGATGAACTAAACTATGGCCTCTGTGGTTTCCTGCCTTCTTGAAAGAATCAGGTCTCCCTGAAGGTCCCAAAATGGCTAGTAAGGGAACATGGGGGCCAGTTAGTAACAGTGTCACCTAGCTTTATTATGTCACATCAGCTTATTTTTTATGGGTGTAATCTTATCAGTTGGCTGCCCTTGAGCAACTTGGGTCCTCAGTCTTCTCTTTTTTTTTCAATTACAGTCAACACTGAATATTACTTTATATTAGTTTCAGGCATACAGCACAGGGGTTAGACATTTTTATAATTTGTGAAGTGATCCCCCTAATAAGTCCAGTACCCAGCTGTCACCATACTCAGTCTTCTTGATTAAGGATGTCTGGCCTGAAACTATCTAACATCACCATGCGCTGCTCTCTGTCTGGCACCCATCTCTGTTCACTGCCATCATACTCCAAACTGCACCGTAAACTATACCAGCTGCCTCTACCCTGATCAAGCTGGCAAACAGGAAGAAATCAGCCAAAAAGAAAGCAAGATTTACAAACCTATCAAAGAAAAAAATCAATCCTAAAACTCAGTTTGGTTATTTAACAAGATACCTTCTAAAAATTCAAGTTGCATTGTATTTGTTTTCATGCGTTGTATTTAGGATACAAAATATAAATAAGTTTTCCGATACACAGAATTCATTAGGAGATAATATTCTAGTAAATATGTTCTCTTTTTCCTGGGTATTTAACTTCAGGAAAATCTATCCTGAAATAAACTACAATATTATCTTCAAAAAACTGTTATCCTCAATCCACTAAGCACATACATACACTTGTCATCAGTGTGCAGGTATAAGGAAAATAAACTCTTATGTAAGCTCAAGAGACATTAATAGAAAAATAAGTATGCTTTCAAAACCAACTTTCAACTGAACTAAATTATTTAAGAACTGTGTTATTTCAGATTATCAAAGCTTCTTCATAGAAATGGTTATTCAAGAGTTCCTTCCTAACTTATTCTATGACACCAACATTACCTGATACTGAAGTCAGATAAAGATATTACAAGGAAAAGAAAACTACAGACCAATATCTCTTATGAATAGTGATGTAAAAATCTTCAACGAAATGCCAGCAGGCCAAATTCAGCACCATATTAAAATAATTATATTTCATGACCAAGTGTATTCCTGTATTGCAAGGATGGTTCAACATCTGAAAATCAATGTAATATACCACATTAACAGAATGAAGGGGAAAAAAAAACAAACACTATCTCAATCTATGTAGAAAACATATGTTACGAAATGCAATACCCTTTCATGAGTAAAACAGTCAACAAACTAAGATTAGAAGGAAACTACATCAACATAATCAAGAGTTTCTATGCTTATAAATACAATATCATGTTTAGATTAGCAACTCACATCAAAGAAACTAGATTCATTAAAAATTCCCCTAAGGAGTACTTACCTGCCAAAATTTCCTTGAACTGTCTAAACCATATGTTGCAGTGGTCTTCACTTAAATTAATAAGATCAAGTGTAGAATCCTTTAATTTATTTTGTTCTTTTTTCAAACAGATGAAGAGTGTGATACCCAATAAAGTACCATTTCCCTGCTGGTTAGCAAAACAGCGTCGTTTCAGTTTGACAGAGAATATGTCCTTGAGTTCAAGAAATTCTTCTTTACATAACAAGTCATACTTGGAATCACCTGGAAAAAAATTAAGTTTTCCAATCAAAACCATTGTGTCCATATCTTCTATGTATAAATAATAGTAAGAACCCAGAAAATCTTTCTCATTTGTAATGTTATTGATTGTCCTTTATGTCAATCACTATAGGGGATGAGGAGGGAAGAAAAGTTGGGTTTATTTTCTTAAGAATAAAAAATAGAAAAATGGAAGGGAGTCTCTGTCACACAAGGCCTAGGACATTCAGAACCTGAGGATGCTCAATGTATGAATAATTCTAAGAACATAAAGCAACATTTCAGTCATAATAAATAAGAATCACACAGGAGGCTCTTTGCTACTAATATGGACAGAATAAAGTAATGGAAAAAAACAGTATTCACTAAAAGAACTGAGTTTATGACAGGTTTCTGAAGACACCATTTAAAGGAATGAAAATGTACATTCTACGTAAAATAACACATGTGCCAAAGGAAGCAGAGAAGATTATTGTTATTAGAAAACAAGAATCCCTGCCAACCTAAAAGAAGGTCCACTAGAATGTTACTACAATCAGGCTTTATTTTATAATGTAATGAAATTTTATTGTTTAACCACAGATCAGAAAATGGTTATTGTTAATAAAGGACCATTCCAATTGATCTCAAAGTAGAAGTGTTCTTATACTTATGCAAAAGTACTTCTAACACTTCTACTCTGGCCAACATGGAATGCAGGGACTGGTTTTACCTTCTGTCAGAAACAACTTGAAAAGCACATTGTTATATGAAACTTCAATTTTCCTATGTCAGATGTGAGGTGGCACAGGACAGTGATTGTGGAGAAAGGGACAAGGGGTGACAAAGGAGCCACACGATTGCCTCAGGTTTCTAGGCCACAGTAGGGACCTGTGGGGGAGCTCATAAGTCTCCCTGAGTTGAGGAGGATTGGGAGTCCAGGAAAACCAATATGACTGGAGTTCACTGGGCAAATTACTGGACAGGAGAGAGCTGCACAGGGAGAGAACTCTGTAGACCTGCAGAGGTTCGCCTTGAATCTTCAGCTGAGTGTGGTTCAGCGTACCTGTGAGGCCAGGGGAAGACCCACCCAAAGGATTAAAGAGAACAACGCTCACGGATCACACAGGTAGTTCCCACCAGACAAAGTGGAAAAATACGGAAATTCACAGGGCACTGGGGAGAGTACTTAGAAGAGCACTGTTTCATTAGTGAGCTGACGAAAGCCTGCATTGATTCCACATAACAAAGCTTCAAAGCGAACCTCAAAAGGACTGAACTGCTTCCACGTAACTTAACTATATTCTAGAGCAAAGTTCAAGAATATGTATAGGAATGCCAAAATATTCACAGTACCTCCCAGTCAACCAAAAATCACTATGCATGTAAAGAAGCAGAAAAATATGACACATGATAGGAGAAAAGGTAACCAACAGAAACCGGTGCAGAAATGGCAGCAGTGGTGACGCAGCCCCAGAAAGCAGAAGCCCTCTCTCGGCTTCCCCAGCCCTTCAGCAGGCGCTTCAATTTCTCAGACGGCAGCCACGATTTCCAGGTGCTGTTACAAGTTCCTTCTTTGCATTCCCAGGGAGTTTTTATGGCCTCCCCCAACCACTCTGAAGAGTTCTCAAACTCTTTGGTTCCTGACCTCATTTATATTCTTAAAGATTGAGAGCTCCAAATAACTTTTATTTATGCAGGTTTACATCTATCAATATTTACTGTATTAAATATTAAGATCAAGACTTTAAAACAGAAAAATACAAAGCACACACTCCATTAGCCATCAAAGAAATAATGTGACCACATATCTCATAGCCTCTGGAAAACTCCACTGTGTCCTTGGAAGAGAACAAGAGTAAAAAACAGCAAGTAAGTTCTTAGTAATATAAAGACAGCTGTTAAGTAGCTAATCCCTGAAAGGATCCTAGGTCACACTTTGAAAATGCTTCTTTAGCAAACGTTAGATTGTTCCCTTTGATCACACAGTAAAGTTATGATCTTTTCCAGACTCAACTTTTCAATTAATTAAAATTCTTGGCTCCATTTTAATACTCCAAATTGTCACGCACTGACTGGAGTGAGTTCCTCCAATCTGCCTCCTTTGTTTCAACCTCCACATGTCCTTGGAAATAAATTTTCTTTGTTACAACAGTATAGTATTCCAAGCTTCTCTGGATTTCTCAAGGAGCCCTGGTTTATTTTAGGGAAGAATATACTAGAAACTAAGAGCTAGTATCCATTACACAGAAGAGAAACCAAGCTTATTCACTTTATATCTTCAGTAACATACAGGGTTGGGAAAAGTAGGTTTACAGTTGTGAGTATTCAAACACTGGAATTATTCTTGAATTATTATTTATTTAATTTTCCATATGAACAACTGTAAACCTACCTTTGCCCCACCCTGTATTTTTACCTGGTGAGCTTATGATACATAGTTTGCGTTGGCTGAGCTGGTAGGCATATGGCCAGGGTGTCTAGAATACCAGGGACCAGGGAGATCTCAGATCCTTCCTCTACCTTCAGGAATGAAACAAAGCAGGCCTGCCAAAGGTCCCAACAAATCCTCACCCAATGATATGCAATGCACTATGTATAGCAACTGGTGCCCTCTGAAATGTAGAGAAGCTTGCCTTCCTTATAGGGGTGTTGCTAGGAATCTGTTTCATATAGCTGAATGTGTATAGGTAAGCTGTATCACATGCCTACCTTAAAACAGTTTACATCCTTGACTATATCTGTGGGATCTTTCCCAGAAATCAGTCCAACAATTATTGAGGTTGAACATCTTTTCATTTGTTTATTTTTCATCTGTATCTCTTAAAAGAGTTTCCTCTATACAAGTGTTTCTCTACCACTATTTGGATGCTGTTTTTCTAATTTGTAGGAGCCCTTCAAATATTCTTGAAATTAGTCCTTTATTATATATGTATTATATATGTTGCAAACAACTTCTTCTAGGCTAATCTTATATTAATTGTGACCTTATGTCTCACATGAATTTAATTTTTATATGTAGTCAAACTTATAACAAATAAGAGCTCCAAGGAAAGGAAGGAAAGAAATATGGAAAGAAAAAAGGAAGAGAGGGAGGGAAGGAATGGGGGAGGGAACAGAGAACCACTGGGAAAAAAAATATGGAAGAGAGAAACTCTTTTCACTCAAAGTCCTATATTACAGTGTGAATTTTCACCATTTGTGCTTTACTTTGGCAACAAACAATTCAAACACTATTCCAATCTAAAAACTCTTGTAAATTGCAAATTTAAAGATAAAATTTAGCAGCGAAAACTAGAATTCCTGGAAATAGGGCAAGAATTCCTATCATTGCTCTTACCATTCCTAATTATTCATTCATTCATTCATTTGGAAATGAAATAAAAGATGATCACTGGTGGTGGGAGGAGCAAAGAGAGTTGAACTATAAATGTTTATAGATGATGTAACAATATATTTGCAAAAACCAAAATGAATCAACTTTAAATCATTGTAACTAAAAAGAATACCCAGTAAAGAAGTTGTTTACAAATATAGTAATAACCAGGAAGAAGGCACAATGGGGATAAAGATATTCCATAAAAATTAGCATATTATACCTAGGAATAAATTTAGCAAAATAATCCTGGACCAATACGGGGGTGTAGGGGAGTCCTTCAAAATACTGAGATAAACAACTGAATAAATGGAGACATAACAATTTCCAAGATTATATTTGTCCCATGACAATATTCTCATTATTAATAACTGCTTATAATACAATCCCAATCAAAATTTCAATGGTATTATCTTTGATGTAGGGGCAACGGACCTAATCGAATGATGGCAAATTTTCTTGGAATAAAAAATTATATTAATAAAGAAAATGTTTTTAAGTACAGTAATGAGAGGGAGTACATGCGTGATCAGATTAATATTTTATAAAGCTATAATAATGAAAACATCTAGGATTATATAATTGTCCAAAGAAACAAATACATTTAAAAAGTTACCGTGATACATTTAGCATCTAAGGTCAGCTGGAAATACTGAGTAAAAGGTAAATTAGAACTGCTTAATGTTTTTAAAAAGAAAAAAGGAGAGCCTTATCTCATAATATACACCAATGTTTCTAGAGTAGAAGAAACTTAATATATATAACCCAAAATTAGTAAAGCCCTGACTAAGCCTGACAGTTTAGGAAGACATACTGAGATACTTAACATGAAATTTATTTAATGCCTGTAAAGTCCTAGAGACCCAAAAATAGAAGTCACAAGCAAAAGCCAACTGGGCAGAAATATTTGCAACATATGACAGTTAAATAATCTATTTAATCAAGGAAAGAAACACTTTGGTGGAAAAGTACATAAAAGACCCAAGACAGGCATTTCACAAAAGAAGAAATGCAAATTGACCAATGAACATATGAGAAAGTTCAATCTAATTAGTAATCAAAGAAATGCAAATCAACACAACAAGATACCATTTGTTGCCTTTTAAATTGGCACAAGATCAAAAATAATGCTCAAGGATGGTGCGGGGAGAGACAGTCCTAGCGCTGGTGGGAATGTATGAATGGTAACTGCTGAAGAACAAGTTGGTTGGAAATATGTTTCAAAAGATTTCAAAATGTAAATTACAGTAGTATTTAGAATAATAAAACGATGTGAAGCAATATTCATGCTCTTCAATAGGAAGATGGTTGAATCAGTCTTCCATAGCTCGTAAGTGAACAAATTAAGATGTGTGTTCTGATCTGGAAAGGTTCATGTTAAGAGGTATAAATTAGTGGAATAAAAGCAGGTACAAGCAACCTGAGGGATTTGACCTCACTTACGTTATGAGAAAAAAAATAACCCAGCGGAAAATACACAATAAACTTAACATTGATAACCTATGAAAGGAGAGCTATGTGGTAGGGAGTATAAGATTAATATTTTCTTATAAACTTCCATAATTTTCCCTTTCAGTAATCAGCATTATATTTTATACTTTTTACAAGTATGAAAAAGGAAAAATGCTCTAAATGTGCATATTTTTGA